AGGGGGATTTTTTCTTGAGTGGCTCAGGAAGACTCATAGAAGAACAAACTCTTTATGCCCCACAGGCCAATCTGAGCCTGACCTGGTTTGGTCTTACCAGCAATGAGCAAGAAAAACAGAAAGGCTGCCTAGACCAGTGCTCAGGGGTGGGCAGAGGGCATTTAAATTAGAGTGGGTCCTGGGCAGCTGCTCCAACTAAAACACCTCAACATCATGTGTACTAAGACCCTGTGGGTATAAAAATGGTTTAGATAAAGTTCCCTTATGGGGAAAAACTAGGTTTACATAAAGTTCTTCTGCAGCCATTTTTAAACCCACGGGGGGCTTATACATGCGAGAGTGAGGCCACACGGGAGCATTCTAATTAGAACATGGAGCAGACTTGACGCATTCGAATAAGAACATGAACCAGCGCGTGTATAGGCAGCCAAAGTGACTAAACACTAAACTCCTTTGATGCCTGCAGCAAATGATAGGTGTGGCCACAGCTCCTCCTGCAGCTTGTTGTTCGACAAATCACAAGGCTCTCCCCAGCCTTATGGCATCTCATTATCAATGAGAATTACAGATGCAAGAGGATGTGTGTATTAAACTTGCAATAGCTACAGAGAGATGAAATTCCTGTGTTTTGAAGGAATGAGATGCATCTATAACATCTCCTAAAGCCAATCTCAGTCCTAGTCCCATGCTAGAAATTACTGCGTAAAAGCAGAGTCAGTGCAGACTTACCACGAAAGAGCTCTTCCTCCAGCTGTTCATTCCATGCAGGTGAATTTTCCTCCATCATATCAGTTTGAATTCCATCAGAAAGGTTACCAGTCGGTTCCTCTGGCAAAGAAGAGTGGTGTGCTTCAGCCTGTCAAAAAGGTTTATTTTGAATTTAACTCTGTATAGCAAACCCAACCATTTCATACTGAGGCAAGCAGGGAGCAAGCCCTTCTGGGTTCTATTGTATTTACTTAAATATAAGATGACCATGAATTTAAGACACACTCCCAAATAATTAGATTCTATATATGGAAAAATTATAAATTATTATAATTTTCCAGGTATAGAATCCAATTAGCAGAGGGTTGTCTTAAAACTGTCCCCCTCTCACTGCTACAGCAGGGAGAGCAGTGGTGGGGTTAGGGGGAGGGGTCAGGTGGTCCCCTTTTCCTTGGCCCCCTCTTTGTCCTCCTCCAGCCTTCCTATCCTCCCGCTTGCACCCCCCACCCCCAAAACCTCTGCCTCTCCCCCATAATCTCTGCCTCTTCCCCCCACTCCCTACAGTCTCTACCCCTTTCCTACATTCCCACGGCATCTGCCCCTTCCCCTGCACTCCCCACAGTTTCTGTCTCTCCTCCCACCACCCCTACTGTCAGACACAGCTCAGTTTCTGTTCCCTGCCAGGTCATGGAGCGTAGCATGCAGAAGCGCAGCCCTTGTTAGGCCATGCAGCAGCAGCAATGCTGCCAATTGGCCAACCAGAGGATGGAGTTTCCCTGTACTCTGTGTCCAGGAGCGAATCCAGCCCAAACTGGACCTGAGCTGTGCCTGACAGTAAGGAGAGAAATTTGGCAGGGGTGAGTTGGGGGTAGGGGGGAAGAAGCTGCAGAGGGCAAATGGTGGGGAGGTGGGGAGGAGGTAGGCAGCTCCTGTGGGTCTGACTTGGCCTTGACCCAGGCTTAGGGCCAGAGGCAGAGCTGAAGCAGCTGCATGCTTCTACTCTACCCTGTATGTGAATCGAAGCTGAGGGGCCTCTTCCCTCCCATGTGGATGGGGATGGGGGGTGGAACAGGACAGGGCACCTCATCTTAGATTTGAGTAAATGCAGTGATATCTTTTTCTAGAAGCATGTTGTATGTGTCCAAAACTAACCTCTGAGTTAAAGAAACATGAACGTTTCAGTTTTTTGGAAAGGAACTTCAATCTACCTTGTCCTGGTCTTTTATTACAAGCATCTGTTGATTGTTTTACCCTTTTTCTCTGTAAGGTACTGCATGAACTCAAATCCAAGATAAGAGATCTTCCCTCCCCCCCAGCCTCAACATGGGTTTAAAATAAAAAACTAACAAAAAACCTTGTCCTAGATTTGAGTACCGTCCCAAACCAGGTGGTTGCTCAGCTTCAGCTATGGCCCAGCAGAACAGGCTGGAAACTAGAGTTCCACATCTCTCTGTCACCGCTGGAGTCAGATCATCAGCCAGTGGAAACATGCATAGCACCACTGACTTGTTCTGACTTATGCTAGTTGAAGATCTGTCCTTCCTCCTCTGAAAAGTCCAACCTAGATGCTCCTGTCCTTCATATGAATGTCCAGATCTCCTCTGAATCCTGTTCTGATTTTTTTTTCAGTGATACATTGTTGTAACAAGTTCTTTAGACTATGGACTTTTATCAACTCTAAAACTGCTGCCATTAGCTTTCATGAAATATATTTGTTCTTGAAGTATGAGGTGGCCAACTTACCTTCTTTTGCTATTTGTTATTTTGCATACTCTTGTTCCATACCTCTGTAGTCTCCTCTCTGATTACATAATATAACATACTAAGATAAAGTGCATGCTAATATTTCAGAACAATTAAATGGCTCTAAAACAGAGATACTGGGCTAACTTTATCCAGGGTTTTATTCTATTGATTCTACAGAGTGCACTTCAGTTACAGCATAGACAAATCTGTTTCCTTGTTCATTGTTTACAGGCATGTATTTCACAAACTGCAAAATGTTTTAGTAGGGAAAACAGTTATTTTGAAATTGCTCTGCGGCAAATTATGGTCCTAAATATATCTGAAATATCTGCATCTGGTTTTAAATATCAGCATAAAAGGCAGAAGCTACACAAATGTGTGTTTGACCTCTTTGTAAGCTTATATGCGACAAAACTTAACCATTGTAAATAAATGCAGGGGTGAACTCAAGGTAAGTTTAAATATTTATTTTTTAGTTACTATTCCCTAATTCTATCTTGGGTTTGTATTGGAGAGCCATTAGATAATTTCCTTGTTAAAGAGAACTGAAACCTCAGTACAGGATGAACTGTACTGTTTAGATGAACACCTTGCTGGGGTCATTTGACCCCAGTACTCTTTCCTGCCATGGCAGAGGGTCGGACTTGATGATCTGCTCAGGTCCCTTCCAACCCTACCAACTATGAAACTAGGAGCTAGACTTTGGACTTGCTCAGAGCAATATAGGTTTATACAGAAAATGGGAGAAATTCATCTTACCAAATTAACTAGCATTACAAATTAATTGTGCCTCTTCTTTCAAAATGGAACTGTAAGAATCTGTCTGAATACTGTGAAAATCCTGGGCACAATGTCAGTTCTTTAAAGAACAGAATCTAGTATTCAAAATGTCCCTTGCTTTAAACATTTATGACAATAAAGTTACTGAGTTACTTACCTTTGCCATTTCCTCCACTTCAAAAGCTGAATGGGCACCCTGCGCAAAGTTGTCATATCTATGAAAGAAGAATTTAAGTTGCTGTGCTGAAGAGGAACACAATGCAAGATTAACATGTTGTTTTTCAAGAACATCCTAATGTTTACTTCCACACCTAGAAAAAGGTTGCTTGAATCTGTCAATTTGTGCATGTTCCAACTGACAGCCAAGAAGGGACCCCAGGTTAGGGACAAAATTATTTTGTAATCTTAGTTCATTTTACAGATGTCAACAATTTCTTAAGTGCTGGCAAGAATTTAGGGCACTGCTAAAATCTATAAAGCCTGGCATGGCCTGAGGCTGGAAGACTCCTTACAACATGCTGCTACAGTTGAACTCAGGTGCGTGTCCTAGTCATAAAGAAGTGCAGGAGCAATTGGCAGGGGAATCTGGGGACCTTTGGAATTTGGTCTCGCCCCAACCCATCCAAAATATTCCTAAGTTATGAATCTTCAGCACACACTACTAGGTTCATCTTTTTTTCCTCAAAATTATAGGGATTGTGAAGACTCTAAAAATGTCAATACATTTTCACCTACTGAATTTTTATTATACATCTAAAATAAATCAAAAAATACCAAAGGAAATATGCAATAACCAAAGAAAATACTGCAACTGATTTCTACAGGATTATTAAGATGGGAAGGTGAGATAGATTTTTCGCCATATAGCCAAAAAACTGTTCTTAATTAACATGAGGAAATCAACCATATCACCAAAAGAACAAAAGGCTCATTCAGATCACAGCCCTGACTTTAAAAATTGAAAATAAAAACCCCATAGGCCCTCCAAATACACTGAAAGGAATTTTACTTAATTTGTGCTTGGTTTCAACTGCTTTCCATCAAGCAACTTGTTTCTTAAAGGAGTTTCTTTGTGTGCATGTGTTGTGTGTGTGTGTGTAATTGTCATTATGAATCAAGTCTTTTTGAATGGGCCTTTTCTTTCAGTTCCTTAAGACTTTCATTTGCTCTTTTATCGTGCTTCAGAAGCAAGTGTAAACTAGCTTCTTGGCAAGGTCTCTGTGGCTGAGCCTTTCCTCCCAAAGGGCTTTGTCATTTATTTGCAATATGTTTGCAGACAGGGAAGTAGAGTTGAAAAGTGCAGCATTTTTGCTTTTGTAACGATGAATTTAAGAGCAGAAATTCTCACTGACACACCACCTAATCCAAAGCCCACTAAAGTCAATGGAAAAACTCCACTGATTTCAGTGAGCTCTGAATCAGGCCAAAGAGTCTAAAATCAACATGCCTTAATTTCTTAATAGCAGTTAAGTTTAGGAGTATTTCCATTGAACTCAATGCAGCTGCTGCTTAAAGCAAGTATGGTTTGCAAAATTGGGACTCAGAATTGAATCGATGATATTTCACAATTTTAACAAAGATTTCAACAAACCAAATGCAGTAGTGTCTGGTTTTGTTTTCCGGCATCCTGCAATCATTTCTGATCATTCTTAAATGATTTTAATCTCTCATTCTCTCCGAATCAGAAGAGCTATATTAGATGTCATCTAGCCCAGCTCTGCTGGTACAGAATTCTACTGCACAGTTCATTTCCAACTGCAGTTCTCAATTTTAATTATCTCAAGAGTTGGGCTTCTAATATTCCACTTTCCGATGGACCTCCTCAATCAGAAAACCTTTCTGGACATTTGGCTAAATGTATTCTCTTCTAATTTCTGAATCCTCATGGTTATACCCCACTGCACAACCATAAATCATTCCTTCCCATCCTGTTAACATTCTTTAAGTAATACATTTTTTTTAATGCGGATGCCTGAAGAAACCAATCATCTTTCTAGCTCTTCTCTTGGCTTCCTCCTGTTTGTCAGCATTTTGAAATGAAAGTTCTGGTTACTCATAGGCAGTATTTTGCAACATCAGAAATAAGTCATAATTTAACCCCCCCCACCCCGCTTTTGGCCTCTAAACACTGTTTACGATCTATTATTTATTTTTAGCTAGCTCTGACAAGGAAGCCAGGTAGCTGTTGCAAAATGGATGACTACAGAGTGCACGGTTAAAAGCACAACTGCATTTAACAATAATAAAACCCATAACCCAGATTCCACGGCAAAGTGATAGTGTCACTCAAGCTCCAACCTCCCACTGCCCATCTCTGGGTTCTCCAGTATCAGATTACAATCTACTTCCTTTTTGAAGTTTTATCAATATTGCACAAGAAGCCAACTAGCTACCAATCAAATCATACGAACATGCTCAAGACATGGCTGCAAAAAGTTTAAGTATGTAGTTCTTTTTTAATACAACCTCTATTTCAACCTGCTATAAGAAAAAGGTAAGAGTGAGAAAGAACATCAAATGCCTTGGAACTGAAAATGATCATAGTTTTACTTACTGAAAGCTATGATGTTACAAACCTTTTATTAGCATCTTAATTATCTCCACGTAAATATACTTTTTTTGCAGCTTTCCATAAATTATTCCCATAGCAAAACAACCACCACAGCTGAGCTGATGAGACTGTCCCTTCTGTGTAAAAAAATATCATCTAAACAGTCATTAATGCCTTGTTATTTACAGGCTTCTGCCAGTCCGACTTACTTACATGGCTTACAGTGCTGTCTCCTATTGTATTTCACTTACTCGCCAAATAATTCTGCCTGGTGACAGGGAAAGCATTTTCAATGCTTTGTCTATACATAAAGCAAATCACATGGCAAGGCAACACCTAAAAGAGGGTGGAGAAGTTTTCTACAGGGAGATGTGACTTGAACATTTAGCAATCAGCTAAGGCACACGTCAGGATAGCTTTGCTGTTTATTTTTCAAACTCGGCCTTGTAACGACTCAAGGTAACCTGAGCCAGAGATTTGATTTATATTTTATGTAGAAAAATGAAAACAAATAATCAGGAAAACTGAAGCAGGAGGTATGTCCAATATTTATTTACCTTTCTACTCTTTAAATGTTATTTTAATGTTTGTCAAAGTTGTCAAATAGAGAAACCCAAAATGTAAAGTCTCCTCAGCTTTGATTTTATATGGTCTCATGTCCCAGGGCCTTTCCTCTTTCACTTTCCTGGAACCTGATTCTCTCTTTTAGTTATCCAAATGCCTATGGACACTACTCTGCCCTTAAAGGGGCTGGACTGGGTTCCTGAATACTCCCTATGGAAGGGCCTTCCTTGGTTGAATAGAAATGGTGCACAGGCTGTATACAAATCCTGCTCTCAGCCCCCAGTGCAGGGGTCACATTGAGGGTGGGACAGGAAAAGGAGGCAAGTGGCATTGCTGGAATGTGTTGTGCCACAGCTACTAACTGCTTTCCAACATTCATAAGGGACTGGTAATTTTCAGGTATTTTCACTTCTGTGCTTTTACTTGTGGCTGCCTTGACCTACATCACAGGAGCAAACATGTGCAAAGCCACGCCCCTATCCACTACAAATGCTTCCTTAAAGCACTCCTCAACTGCCATGCAAGAAACTCAAAAATGGTCACCTGGTGTGTTGCATCAGCTACTTATCCTTGTGTCCAGTATTACCTCATTATTAATTTATGTGTATATTTGATTTACATATTGCTCTCCCCTATACAAAGACTCAAAGTAGCTTACAATAAAAATGAAATAAATTATAAAAAACAGATACAATATTAAAATAAAACACAAAGTAATAAAACAGTAACCCAGAACTTAACCCTGCTTGCTAAAACCCTGCCCAAAGACAATAAAAGCTGTGTTAACCAGCATTTTACTAACGGGAATACTTTATTAATCAGAATTTAACAGATCCGTGCTGGTGGGCTGAGGCCAGGGCAGCACCGGGCTCTTTCTGGAGGGGGCTAGGTAGCGATGGTGCTAGGACTGGCCCACCTCACTGTTTGGCTTGCTCAGCGGCAGGATGCACATGGCGCTGCACTGCTTTTGAAGCAGCAGCAGCGAGGTGCAGAGGCAGAGATCAGATCCCAGCCCGCAGTTGCAGCCTGCCTTTGCCCTGTGCACAGATAAAATAAAGCAGATTGAAGGAAACTTACCTGCCCGCTGGGCCAGCTGCCAGTATAACTCTCAGATAACTGGAATTTTTAGATAACCAGCACCCCCCTACCCCACTCATGCCAGATAACAAAGCTTTTACTGTAAAAAGGTCTTAAAAACACTTCTAGAAAACATCCAGGCTTGGGCCTCTAAACTCTGCTATGTGTAAATAAATATTATAATATCACAGCAAGTATTGCCAGCATGCTTAAAAATTACTTGAAGCCATTATTTATATCCCATGGGGAAAGTACTTGATGGGCAGCATATATTGCAATAGCCCAGAGACTAACAGCCATGCAATGTATAAAGCTTGTTGAAAGCCTGAGAGAACTGGATTTCATCAGGGGTTGGGAATTTAACTCTTCTTTGCTCCTGATTCTTTATTCTTTCTGACATTTAACTGGTAACTTTTATTCATCTGATCAAATAAAATCATGAACCTCCTGGGTCACACAAAGAGGTTGAGGCTGGAGAAGTGCCTAATTTAGATGTAGACACAAAGTTTCATGGATATTGTGTAACATTTAATCCTCTTTTTCTCATTACCATAGACAGGTAGAATGAAAGCATGTTCCACCTATAACTCACTGTGGCTGTTCCTGAGTTTGGTGCTTTCCAGTGTGCTTCCTTGATTTTCTGAAGGAGAAGAGCCAAGCGAAAGGGGATCTAAATCCCAGGATGGAAGATGTGGTGTTCTTTTCATTCTTCTGTGGTTGTGGATTTGGGGGAGATGGCATTTTCAACTCATTAGGATCTAAAAAAATGTTAAAATATTGCAGATAGCTAATTCCAGTTGTTCTCAAATGTAAACATTTCTAAAATATACAAAAATAAACAATAATTCTGCATGCCTGAATAACAGCAGGCAGCAATCTGTTATTGTCAGGGTTAGTTGTGTAGTTTTGATCATAGGTGAGACAATGGATTTGTATAGGATGGTTTGGATAGGGATGATCCTGTCTGAGCCAGGGGGTTGGACTAGATGAACTCTGGGCTAAGTATAAACAGTCAAAAAGCCCAAGGCTACATCGATTCAATTTTTGAAGGTTAGTTTAAACTGTGTAGCTTGAACTGATAATCGACTGAACAGACATTCACTTTTGATTCCAGAAATGCAGCCACATGCCTGCAGTGGCCCAGGTCAGAAGCCAGGGGGTGCTAGAGCATGCCTCCCTGCTTGGCCAGAGCAGACAGCTTATGCCAAGGCTAACCCATCAACCCAGCAAAAGAACAGTTTGCTGGGGAGGTGCAAAGCATCCTGGGATGCTAGGGGACTATGCACTTGAATCTGGAGGGGTTCTGGGATAGAAGTTCAATAATCTGATTTAACCTAAATCAGTTAAGTCTGATACTACACCCATCCATCCACTTATCTTAAACCAATTTTGACCATTCTGAAAGTGGTTTATGTGCCCTGAAGTTCTGCTGTGTTACAGATTTGAACCAGTTTCTGATCACTTATATCAGTTTATGTATAATTTCTTTCCCTAGCCCTGGAGGTCCCTTCCAGTCCTATTTCTCTATGATTAAAAATGACCTTGAAAGCAAGCAAAGAGAGGCTGAGCCCTTTTGTGATTCTTTATGACGTATATCACTGATCTGCAAGTTGTTCCACCCCACCCAGCGTAAACACACACACACTCATACATGTTATTCTTCTTGTATGTTTTATGCTAGACATATCCAAATATTAGTGATATCACTTAAGAGAACAGAGACATGCTGACTTCTGGGGAGTAAGATACAGAATGGGTTCAAAATTTTTAAAAGGTAAATAGTTTTTAGAAAATATGGCCACCTACCTTGCGAAATTCATACCCATTTTAAGTTTTCTCCACCTAGGCATTCAAAAATGGAGGCACCCAAAATCACCAGTCACTTTTGTAAATCTTAACCAAATCCATAAAGACCTCAAATGTGTACGGCATTCCAATATCACGCACCTTACCATTCTATAAATGACTAGGCTAGATGGACAACTCCACTTTTACTTATACAAGAGTAATGAGTACTTAGGTATCTGAATGTTATCAAATGTTTTTCAGCCCAGCTTCCACTGGATTCAACACTCCGATCTATGGACATGAGTGCTACATTTAATGTATCTAAAATGTTTTATTTTATTTGAATTGTCTTTGCTAGAAATTATGTCAAAAACCTTTTGTTTGCAGGTGTGGGAGTTGATGAAATGTGGGAGAATTCTTTAATGGGAATATGAATGATGTCCTCTTGCTAAAAGCCACCAAAAATGGAGGGGAATGATAACCAGATTATTGTTCACAGAGTAAGAAAAGAAACTTCAGTCTCTAGTGCTAAGTGCCATAGAGGACACAGAAAGCAAAGCAACACTCAGGGAACGGGCACTGGGCACGGTTCCAAAATTAAAAGTGCTTTTCAATGTTTGTGTCTGTTTTGGGTCATCTCGTTTGAGAGACAACTCAACAGCTTAGCATTACAGTATTAAAGAGAAGATATAGAATATGAAATGGATACACAACAACATAGCAGTAGCTTGTATGAACTGCATATCTGCTTTATGTGATGCTGCTTCCAGCTAATTGATGGTATTTTTGTGGAAAGTGACAAGGCCAAAGCACAAAGTTGTATAAGAGATGTGAATGGAAAAGCAGGATACAATGCTCTTGAAAACACATGGCTGTAGATTGGAAAAGATACTTTAGAGCAGTACTGACCAATCACTTTGGGAGCCAGGAATGGATCCAGATGGGGTACAGTGCTGTGACTGCACCCCAGTTTTGCACTGGACTGCATCACAAGAGCCTCCGGGGACTTTTTAAAATCCCCAAAGCAGGTAAGAATTCTCCTCTTCCCCTCCATGCTCAAAAGCATGTCTTGTCCCCTCCCCTCCCTGCTGCTACGGCTTTTCTTGCCGGCCAGGGATGGGGAAATTTCAAAGCTGCTGCTGCCTACTTCAGTGGAGTTGCATGTGGGCGGGGCTCAGCTGGGAACAGCAGCAGCAGAGGTGGGTAGGGGGGGGTCTCCCCTCCCCAAACCTGCTCCTAGGGGACTGGCCAGGGTGGGAAACCACCCCCATCCCCCATGCTGCTGCTGGTGTCACAGAGCCCAGCACCCATGCAGCCTGGCTGGAGTGGGCAGGAGTGGTTTTGAAGCTACTCCCTCTCCCAAGACAGTGGGGAAGGTGGCAGCAGCAAGCAGGGAGGGAAGAGGCAGGGACATGCTTTTGAGCACAGAGGAGAAGGGGGAGGATTATTTTAAAGTCATCAAACCAGGTAAAAATTCCCAGACTCCCATGGTTCAGATGGGAGGGGGGGAGGAGGGGAAAGTGGGGGTGCAGCCAGTCCTTCAATGCAGGTGGCTGCTCCTGCACCCACCTTTGGCAAATCCTGGATCCCTCCCTGTTGGCATCTATGCCTCAAGTTAAGACTCATCCCCTCCCTAAGTAGGAGACCTCTCATGGCTGTATCACAGCTACAATCAGATCAGTCTACTACAGTATCAGTTCCTCACCCAGACAACCTGACACTTCATTTTCACACTTCCTAGCCCTGTGTGATCAGCCAAGGCTGTACTCAGATACATTCAAACTCTACTCCTCCAAATCTTTATTAACCACTGAGATCTACCTAGCTTAACAAAAACCTCATTTATCTTAAAGTACTTCCATTTCTTCCATCCCTTAAAAAAGATTTGCCTGTGAAAGTTAATTATTTAACTATATTTACCTTTCATTTTTATTTCTGAGACTAAAATCCGTTATATGAAGCTGATGTTTTTGCTTGCATCAGATAACATCTATGTATTATTTGCTTATGATCTTTGCAGCTATCATAACTAAGGCAAGAAATACAAACAGCTTGCTAATGTGTTGTGCTTTTAACACAATCAGCTTCAAAGCAAATTTTCATTCGAGGGTGTGTTTTTGCTAGAGCTTAGATGTGAGAAAGAATCTAACAAAATTCCAGAATTTCCTTCTCACTGAACATGGAGAAACTTTGATGCACTGTTTTGATGACATTCACATAAGACAGGAATTTGAAAAAAACTCTCACTCACTGTTTCTCACGGTCTTCTTTAATCGGTGACCTAGTGGTTGTTTTAGCATTCTGCTGACATCAGTGTCATTCTGAAGGTTTTTTTTCTCCATTTCTTCAAACCATTCTCCAGTGACTCCCTGCTGTCCTGTTACATCTGGCTTTTTCTTTTGAAGTTTGCTAGAAGAAAACAAAATCACTGTCGTTTTCCCCGCCTCATCTCATTTAGAAATTTACCATTTCCTCACTAGGAATCCTTCATCTCCTTGTGGTTATGGGTAATACCTAAAAATCAAATGACTTCATAAAAACAAATAAATGAGGGAATTACCTATGCAGGTCAATGGAAAGATACCCTTTGACTTCAATGGGAGTTGAATTCTCCAATTCAGCATGGTACTTAAATATGTGCCTAACGCTTTTCTTCAGTGGGTCTACTCATATGGCTTGAGTTAGTTACTGCCATGAAGAATTGCAGCCTTCTGTGATACAGAATTGGGGCCACAATGCATGACTGTATATGACTGTGTGTGCACCTCAAAACTTACTGAAGCCAAGATTAGAAATCTTTGAGGTCAATAGCTCAAAGAATATTTATTATATTGAAACAAGATTTGACATTTTCACACTCTCATTTACTTAGAAGAAATAATAGGATTGTTCCCATCATTCATCAGAAACGCTTTGAGGGAAAACCTGTGTTTTATACAGCATGCAGCAAGGTAGGGGAGCAAGCTTCAGGTGCGTAATAGAAATACATACCCAGATAACAGTAAATATTAAATGTAATCTGTTAAACACAATTATCACAGTTTTGTCTTTTTTTCCTTGATGCACTCTGGCTTGTTGTGCATTTAATACATGTTTTAATCAACCTACAACATTTTTCTCCCAAGCAGAAAACTATGCAAGTAAACATGAAGGAAACTATGCAAATAGTGCTATCAGGAGTTGGAATGGCGGCAGCCATGTAAGCCCCCAGCTGGCCCTGATAGCTTGGGAGGTGCCAGCTGCCTGACTGCCCCCAGCTAATTCCAGTTAAGCAATTGGTTGTGGCTGCTTGCAGCGACCTTTGGCATTCTCATAAGATTTTTTTTGGTTAGCCCTCAGTGCTCCTGGTTCTCGGTTCCCAGTCCTAGCCCTGAGTGTCCTAGTCCAGCTCAGCTCCTTAGTCCTCTCTTCCCTAGTCCAGTTTCCTGTGACTCATTCTGTTGTTCCTTGATGCCCCTCTTCCTACCTGAACGTCTGTCTAGCCTGCAACCTTGCCTAGCTCCGTGACTCTGCCCAGCTTATGACTCTTGGGCTCCTAATATTGTTGACCCCATCAGCTCTTAGACTTGTCAGGCATGTGCCCTTAGCCCCTGAACTCTGACCCCCCATGTCTAGGTCATGCCCAGGACCAGATCATGAACTGAAAGAGAAACTGCATAATGGCTTCAGTTTTTGCTCAAGATAAGCTGTCGTATGAATGTAGAATTTATCTAAATATAAAAGAATAAGATATATTGCAGAAAATCTTGACTGTGCCCCTGAACTGCAAAAGTACTGACTTTCATACTATATTATGTAAGGTCCTGATTATAGGCACAGACATATTTACTCCACACCCAGCTAGCTAATTTTGATAGTGAAGAACATGATCTGTGTGCAGACAAGTGATGTAATGCCAATATTTTAATAAGGGCTCCCACTAAAATCTTCCATCTGAATCCCTGGTAAACCGCCATCTCAGGGAAATGCGTGTGCTTTTACACCAGGGGTGGGCAAAATGTGGCCTGGGGGCTGGATGCGGCCCGGCAGGCCATTCTATCCGGCCCGCAGGGCCCCTAAAAAATTTAGAAAATTAATATTTATATGCCCTGGGCTGCCTGTTATGTGGCCCTTGACGGCTTGCCAAAACTCCGTAATTGGCCCTCTGCCCAAAATAATCGCCCGCCCATGTCTTACACAGAGGGTTAGACTGAGACATCTACTCATTCATCTTTTAAATGAAAATCCTTTTGCTGCAGACAACACCAGTTGGTACATGAGATTAAGTGAAGTGCATCTGCCAAGAACATTTACATTTATTTCTGAAAATTATATTGAATACTCTTTTATTTCTATTACAGAACATTCTTGTGTCTTTTGATGGAAGGTATGGTTGGGTTGGACGCACTGTAGGTAAATTTGTGTACATTTCTCATTAGAAATTTTTTTTTAAGTACTTAATAATTGGAACAAACTGATGTATTGAAAAGGCAAAAATAACTGCTCATCACAAGCATTTCCAGAACCCTGGGAGACGGCTGAGAAGTATCCAAAGATCAGGTAATCCCATCACAAGCAAGAAAATCACCCTAGCTTTTGTGACAAACTGGGAAGGAATTTTAACCAGGTACTTGAGAACCACCTCCATTTCCTCTCTGATGCAGCCTTAGCACAACAGATGAGGAAGAAAGGGATACAATATCTGAGAAACTGCAGTTACAAGAAACATCTGGAAAATGAACACACAACAATTTTACTGGAGTACTGAACACTGAAAAATTTCTTATAATGAACCCCTACAAGTCTCTTTAAATAATCCATATAAAACTTTAGTCTGATTTATGTAAGACGTAAGCATATGATTTCAATAAAAAGTTACAATTTATACATCAGTACAAATTTTGACTCTTTCTCAAGGAAGGCAAGTAAAACTCATACCTAAAGTATGGCCATCTAGTGGTAAAAAAACAGTAGTGTTTGGAGAGCCTGAAGCAAATATGGGACATCTGAATTCCCCGTCATGAGTAAACTTCCATCATTTTTTATTACGGTTTGTATTTTATTTGCCCCAGAAACAGTTTTCCAAGGCCTCTGTTGACCTCTAGGCTGTAAAAGGTTTCATAGTTTCATTGTTTCTAGGGTCGGAAGGGACCTGAGCAGATCATCTAGTCTGAACCCCTGCCATGGCAGGAAAGAGGACTGGGGTCAAACGACCCCAGCAAGGTGTTCATCTAACCTCCTCTTAAAGACCCCCAGGGTAGGAGCCTGCACCACCTCTCTTAGAAGTTGGTTCCAGACCCTAGCCGCCCTGACC